TTTTTCCACCCATCTTGTCTCTTTGCATTTCATTTTTTCTGCCTAAGTGTAGTATCTTACATTCGTCCATGTTGAAAGTCATTTTATTAAGTTTTGGTCAATCATTTCTCTAATCTGTTGAGGTCCTTTAGCATCCTGATCCAGTCCTCTGGAGTATTAGCTCTCTCTCCTAATTTGGTGTTGTCTGCAAACTTGATCAGCCTGCCCTCTAAACTCTCCTCCAAGCTATTAATAAAGATAATGAACAGTACTGGGCCCAGGACTGAACCTTCTTCAGGGCACTCCACTCGTCATTTCTTTCCAGGGTGAAGAAAAGGAACAATTGGGGAGAAGCACCCCTTGGGTTCGGTTGCTTAACCAACTACATATCCACCTAACACTAGCACTGCCTAGCCCAATGTTTCTCAACATGGGGGTCAGGACCCTTGGGGGGGTCGTGAGGGGGCGTCAGAGGGGTCACCAAGACCATCAGAAAACACAGTATTTTTGTTGGTCTAGCAGGGTTCTGAGTTTAGACCAGTTCTATCATTGGTATGGTTCAGAATGTTCTTTGATTTTAGGATTGTTTTCTGCTGCCCTGGAGATTAGGACGCAATGGAGCAATGGCTTCAAAGTACAGGAAAGGAGATTTCACCTGAACATGAGGAAGAGCTGTTCAGCAGTGGAACTCTCTGCCCTGGAGTGTGGTGGAGGCTCCTTCTTTGGAGGCTTTCAAACAGAGGTTGAATGGCCATCTGTTGAGGGTGCTTTGAATGCGATTTTCCTGCTTCTTGGCAGAATGGGGTTGGACTGGATGGCCTACCAGGTCTCTTCCAATGCCTACTTCTCAAGGGTTGATCCTGTCACCACAAAATGCAGAAATGTTGATTATGGAAAATCCCACGGGCTCATTTCACACCTGATCCTGCTTGTGATGCCGGGGTCCTCGGGTTCTGCCCATGCAAGATGTTCCCTCTTTTCCAAATGTTCTTTATAGGTTTCCCTCCTCAAAAGGTCAAAGGGTGAGGATATGAACACACAAGCACTTTGGCTTTTATTAGGAGCGACAGCCAGCCAGTCATTTGCCCAGTGAAACCCACACCAGATTCCTGCGTTTACGGGACCGAAGTAAACAACATTCTGACAGACTATAAAAAACATTAAGCAAACATTTGATGCTGCTTCAGATCCTACAAACAAGCCAATACTATAGCTCAGACATGAGCAAGCTTGGGCCCTCCTCCAGGTGTTTTGGACTTCAACTCCCACAATTCCTAACAGCCTACCGGCTGTTAGGAATTGTGGGAGTTGAAGTCCAAAACACTTGGAGGAGGGCCCAAGTTGGCCCATGCCTGCTATAGCTCTATCAATCCTGTTGTTGTTTATTCATTCAGTTGTTTCCGACTCTTTGTGACTTCATGGACTAACCTACGCCAGAGCTCCCTGCCGGCCGTCACCACCCCCAGCTCCTTCACGGTCAATCCAGTCACTTCAAGGATCCCATCCGTCCATCTTGCCCTTGCCCGGCCTGTGCAGGTACAGCTGTACCAGAAGCTCCAATTTTGTTTGCTTTGCATTTAATGTTTGTTATAGTCCTAAGTTTCAGGGACTCTGCAGATAGGTGGCTTCTTTTGGCTGCAATCATAGGGCAAGCCACCTGTCAATTATAGTTAGGTTCCCTGGTCCCGCCCCCTTTTTGAGTTTTAGAGGGAATAGGATCCATTTTTGAGTTCAGTCCACACAGAGAAGCCTTTCACACAGGACATAAAACGAAGAGCTCCTGTAGAAAGTTTTGTCTTTTACGGCTTGGCCGGGGAGATATACAGCCTACAGCTTGGCCGGGTTTATACAGCCCACAGCTTGGCCAAGGATCATACAGCATTACAGCTACTTTGCTGAGGGAATCTGGTCCCACAGCACTTCAGCCAGCCATCACTGAAACCCGAACTCATTCTTTTCCCCTGGAAGCCTACAAAGCTCTGCTTGGTAAGGGTCACTCGCGGAAGCCAGACGCAGTTGGTACCGGGTGCAGGGGCTCCACGCCAACAGAGGCAAATACAGATTGCCCAGATTAGAGGTTAAGGATTTCCTCATTAGTTAGTATACCGTTATGAAGATAGTGCCTGTTCCCAGTGGACAAGACTGCGAGAGCCAATAGACTGTTTTCATTAATAAAGAACTTTGTTGGACTTACTTTAAGCCTCTAAAGACTCTGTTTTAAGGAAATCCAAAGGCCTTTAATCTGAGGCAGCCCCGGTGTCCCGTTGGGCACACAGAATTTATGTCCTGTCTACAGTCTTATGCACAGGCCCAGTGTGCGACAGCACACGGCCCCTCTTCCTTTTTTCTTCCATTTCCCCCAGTATAATTGTCTTCTCTAAGCTTTCCTTTCTGTTTGATTCCACAGCAAGCTGGCTTCAGGAAAGGCAAAAGCTGCACATCGCAAGTGCTGAACCTGACTCAGCACATAGAAGATGGCTTTGAAAGGCAGCAGATCACAGGAGCTGTCTTCATAGCCTGTCAGCAGCTTATGATACTGTGAACCACCGCCTCCTCCTGAGAAAAATGTATAATATCAAAAGGACGACCACCTCACCCGCCTCATAGGAAACCTGCTACAAAACAGGAGCTTTTTTGTTGAGTTCCAGGGCCAGAGAAGCAGATGGCGGAAACAGAAGAACGGCCTGCCTCAGGGGAGCGTGCTTGCTCCATCCATGTTCAACATCTACACAAATGACCAGCCACTGCCAGAAGGGACAGAGAGTTTCATCTATGCTGATGATCGTGCCATTACTGCTCAAGCAGGGAGCTTTGAGACTGTAGAACAGAAGCTCTCCGAAGCTCTAGGTGCTCTTACTGCCTACTACAGGGAAAACCAGCTGATCCCTAATCCATCTAGAGCTCTGAGGATTACCTGGGAAGGAATCCCACTGGAGCATTGCAGCGCACCCAAATACGTGGGAGTCACTCTGGACCGTGCTCTGACCTACAAGAAGCACTCCCTGAGTCAAATTCCTCAAGGAAGCCCCTCAAAACAAGACAAGATGGTAGCCACCACCCAATGTCCTTCATTTCCCCCAAAATTGGCAGTGAGACATACAATCCTAGAGTTAGAAGGGACCACCAAGGGCCATCCAGTCCAGCCCCTTCTGCTATAAAGAATACATTATCCAATCCCTCCTGACAGATGACCACCCAGACTTTGTTTGAAAACCTCCACAGAAGAAGACACCATCACAGTAGATATTCCATCTACTGAACAAATGTTTGAGTGAATTTATAATGGTTGAAAGATATCTACTGTTTTATCTGGACAGGTCCATTTGTCTTGTATAACTCCCTTTCTGGTATTTTTTTTGCTGTTTCTTGTGGGTCTTCACAATAATAATAATAATAATAATAATAATAATAATAATAATAATCCTTTATTTGTACCCCGCTACCATCTCCCGAAGGACTCAGTGCGGCTTACATGAGGCCGAGCCCAAATACAACAGTAAAAACAAATAACAACAACAAAATAACTCAAAAATCAAAGCAATAACATTGACAACACACAATGACGCAATTAAAATCAATGGCAGGGCCAAATGTAACAATTAAAATTAAAAAGTGCTGGGCGTGACCAGATGGAGTGTTTGGAGGGGGATGGGCATGCAGATATCCTAGATCTCTGATAAAGTGCATTGGGACATAATGCTAGGAGTTTCCTTTATTCTGGGAAGGCACTCTGGAACAACCACGTTTTCAAGCTCCTCCTAAAGATTGCTAGCGACGGGGCCTGCCTGATGTCCTTAGGGAGAGAGTTCCAGAGTCGAGGGGCCACCACCGAGAAAGCCCTATCCCTCGTCCCCACCAATCGCGCTTGCGATGCAGGTGGGATCGTGAGCAGCGCCTCTCCAGATGAACGAAGAGATCGTGTGGGTTTGTACACAGAGATGCGGTCACGCGGGTAGGCAGGTCCCAAACCGTTTAGGGTTTTGTAGGTAAGCACCTGCACCTTGAATTGGGACCGGAAAATGAATGGCAACCAGTGGAGCTCCTTAAACAGGAGGGTTGACCTCTCCTTGTAAGGAGCCCCTGTTAACAACCTGGCCGCTATTCATGGCACCTCTTGGAATCAGGGGCACCTTCCTCTCCAACAAACCCACATACCTCACCAATAAACCCACATACTTCAGCCTCTTACAGCATGGATGGTTAGAAGCCCTCATAGAAAATGAATCATAGAATCATAGAGTTGGAAGAGACCTCATGGGCCATCCAGTCCAACCCATTCTGCCAAGAAGCAGGAATATTGCATTCAAATCACCCCTGACAGATGGCCATCCAGCCTCTGTTTAAAAGCTTCCAAAGAAGGAGCCTCCACCACACTCCGGGGCAGAGAGTTCCACTGCTGAACGGCTCTCACAAGTCAGGAAGTTCTTCCTCATGTTCAGATGGAATCTCCTCTCTTGTAGTTTGAAGCCATTGTTCCATTGCGTCCTAGTCTCCGTGGAAGCAGAAAACAAGCTTGCTCCCTCCTCCCTGTGGCTTCCTCTCACATATTTATACATGGCTATCATATCTCCTCTCAGCCTTCTCTTCTTCAGGCTAAACATGCCCAGCTCCTTAAGCCGCTCCTCATAGGGCTTGTTCTCCAGACCTTGATCATTTGAGTCGCCCTCCTCTGGACACATTCCAGCTTGTCAATATCTTCTCTTGAATTGTGGTGCCCAGAATTGGACACAATATTCCAGGTGTGGTCTAACCAAGGCAGAATAGAGGGGAGCATGACTTCCCTAGATCTAGACACTATGCTCCTATTGATGCAGGCCATTGGCTTTTTTGGCCGCCACATCACATTTTGCCGCCACATCACAAGATTCTCAGGGGATGCTGTGCCTCTTACTAAAATTATTAAAATCCCAGGGTAATCTGGGCAGATGCTGGAATTTATGGATACACTCAATCCCTGTGATAAGGTTGAGGACCCATCTTTGTTCACCCTTGAAGGAAAGGAAAGGCACGACTATACTTACTTTCGCAGCAGGAGAAGAAGTAGAAACGCTGAGGAGTCGCATGGAGGCTTCCAAATGTTGAGGTGGGAGGAAGAAGTTGGGGATGACAATGGGGTCCGATCTGAAGGAGAGGCTTAAGGAGGAAACTTCTTGCTAATTAATGTACAGTGATATATAGTAAGACCTGCATATCCACTGAACTGGTAGCCATGATTTCATTTATCAACGTATCCCTGTAGGCATTTTAAGGTCCTCCAGCATGACTCTGTGGTATGCATGGGTCAGAGGTCCTTCATTCAATTCAATAGGATTCGTATTATTCATGGTTCTACACATCCACAAGAATTCTTTGAACATACCTCCACTTATATGCTGGTCATAGAATCATAGAATCAAAGAGTTGGAAGAGACCTCATGGGCCATCCAGTCCAACCCCATTCTGCCAAGAAGCAGGAATATTGCATTCAAATCACCCCTGACAGATGGCCATCCAGCCTCTGTTTAAAAGCTTCCAAAGAAGGAGTCTCCACCACACTCTGGGGCAGAGAGTTCCACTGCTGAACGGCTCTCACAGTCAGGAAGTTCTTCCTCATGTTCAGATGGAATCTCCTTTCTTGTAGTTTGAAGCCATTGTTCCATTGCATCCTAGTCTCCAGGGAAGCAGAAAACAAGCTTGCTCCCTCCTCCCTGTGGTTTCCTCTCACATATTTATATATGGCTATCATATCTCCTCTCAGCCTTCTCTTCTTGTTGAACCTAAGCTAGTTCAACTGGTAAAGAAAGGAAAGTGTGGCTGCTATGATGGGTTTTGTGACTACAAAAGGTGTTCTTTTATCCTTTTGTTTTTTCATGGTTGCCACTGTGCATTAATGGGCAAATACAATCTAAGGCAGACCAAAGGAGACTGCACAATCCTCAAATCAATTAAATAAAGCTCCTATCAACCCGACATAAACATTTATAATATCACAAAGGACAATGTTTATGTTTATATAATTCAATAAAAACTTGTTTAAAAAACAAAACAAAACAAAGGATTACCATCTCACCTGCTTCATAGGAAACCTGCTACAAAACAGGAGCTTTTTTGTTGAGTTCCAGGACCAGAGAAGCAGATGGCAAAGACAGAAGAATGGCCTGCCTCAAGGGAGCGTGCTTTCTCCATCAATGTTTAACATTTACACAAATGATCAGCCACTGCTGGAAGGGACAAAGAGTTTCATCTATGCTGACAATCGTGCCATCACTGCTCAAGCAGGGAGCTTCGAAATGGGTGAACAGAAGCTCCCTGAAGCTTTAGGTGCTCTTACTTCCTATTACATGGGAAACCAGCTGATTGCTAATCCATCTGAAATGCAGATGTGTGCTTTTCATCTTAAGAATAGACAAGCATCTCGAGTTCTGAGGATTATCTGGGAAGGAATCCCATTGGAGCATTGCAGCACACCAATGCTCCTTGAGTCACTCTGGACTGTGCTCTGACTTACAAGAAGCACTGCTTGACTATCAAGCAAAAATGTGTGCTAGAAACAATATCATATGCAAACTGACTGATACAATCTGGGGATCACAACTGGACACAGTGAAGACATCTGCCCTTGCGCTTTGCTACTCGGCTGCTGAATACACATGCCTAGTGTGGAATACACCTCACCATGTGTAAATAGTGGATGTGGATCTTAATGAGACGTGCCGCATTATCACAGGATGTCTACACACCACACTAGTGGAGAAATTACACTGTTTAGCCGTTATTGTACTACCTGACATCCGTTGGGAAGTAGCAGCCAATAATGAAAGGACGAAGGCAGTGACATCTCCGACCCAGCCTCTGTTCAGATGTCAGACAGAACACCAATGCCTTAAATCAAGACATAGTTTTCTAAGATCTGGAGAGATACTCGCAGGAACACCTCAGCAAGCGAGAGTCCAAAAGTGGCAGGCTCAAACCTGGAACCTCAATCACTGGCTGATACCAAGTGAGAGACTTCCTTCTGGGCACACAAAAGGCTGGGCAATTTGGAAGGCGCTGAACAGGCTGTGCTCTGGCACCACAAGATGCAGAGCCAACCTTCAGAAATGGGGCTACAAAGTGGAGTCCACGACATGCAAGTGTGGAGAGTTACTGTCATAACCTTCCTTTCATTTTTACTGGCTTCACCCAACAGAACTGGATATGAATTCAGTTACTTCCAAAGCAGAAGAACCATCCTTTTCCACCCTCAAGAGAAGAATATTTGTACAAAACCCCCCAAATCTAGAGCTCAATTCTCTTAAGCCTGGCAAACGCAACCTTTTCCCATGGGTTTTGAGTCTTGGCCAAACTCTCAAGAGCTTTCAACAATGTGGGTTAAACCTATGTGATAAACCTATGTGCTATCAACCTATGACTTCAAACATACCCGTTAAAGAGAAAGGAGAAATCAATGGGGCAGCAAAGGCCTAGATCTTGCTGTTAGCTTACTGTGACTGTGGCTTTGTGAAATCTTTGATGGTTTAATAGTGAAAAGGCTCACTTTTGGTTCCACTACCTTGACCCAGTTACAACCTCTGGCCAACTGGCTACATGGAAGAGGTATGACCTACATGTTATACGACTGACTGTCCTCTTCCAACTCTGTGATTCTGACTATACCTTTGGGGACACACAGTTCTCCTTCAATAAAGGATTGAAATGTAACTTGAGTAAGATGAGAATCATCATGTTAGTCAAGAGCATAAGGGCAATAATTCATAAAAATTGGCAATTGGAGTGGGGAGGTGTTTCCACCTACAACAAGACATGTACTGAGAGTTGTTTTCGACTGATTGCACAGATAGCATATCTGATTACAAAAAAAACCACACCAAGGTTAGTCAGAGACGAAAGCAGAAGTTTCACCAGGAGTTTGGAAGGAAGCACTGCCTGGCTATGGGGAGTGCTCTTCTAACATTGGACTGAAATGTGAACCAGCCATACCTGCAGTTATTTTTTTTTCTGTGTAGCTATTGTGGTTGTCACAGTCTCTAGACCTGTCATTTTGTCATAATTTTTTCAAAGCAGATGAAAGGGGCCTAATTAATAGTATTGTAATGCCCTGTGAAATTGTATTGTCGAAGGCTTTCATGGCTGGAATCACTAGGTTCTTGTGGGATTTTTCGGGCTATATGGCCATGTTCTAGAGGCATTTTCTCCTGACGTTTCGCCTGCATCTATGGCAAGCATCCTCAGAGGTAGTGAGATCTGTTGGAATTAGGAATATGGGTTTATATATCTGTGGAATGACTGCGGTGGGGCAAAGAGCTCTTTTCTGCTGGAGCTAGGCGTGAATGTTTCAACTGACCACCTTCATTAGCATTTGAAGGCCTAGCTGAGCCTGGGTGAATCTTTTGTTGAGAGGTGTTAAGATGTGCCTGGTTGTTTCCTCTCTGCTGTTTTGCTGTTGTAATTTTAGAGTTTTTGAATACTGGTAGCCAGATTTTGTTCATTTTTTGTTGAAATTATCCACATGCTTGTGGATTTCAATGGCTTCTCTGTGTGGTCTGACATGGTGGTTGTGAGAGTGGTCCAGCATTTCTGTGTTCTCCAATAATATCCTGTGTCCAGGCTGGTTCATCAGGTGCTCTGCTATGGCTGACTTCTCTGGTTGAAGTAGTCTGCAGTGCCTTTCATGTTCCTTGATGCATGTCTGGGCAATGCTGCTGCGTTTGGTGGTCCCTCTGTAGACTTGTCCACAGCTGCATGGTACACGGGAGACTCCTGCAGAAGTGAGAGGATCCCTCTTGTCCTTGGCTGAACGTAGCATTTGTTGGATTTTCTTGGTGGGTCTGTAAGTGGTTTGTATGTTGTGTTTCCTCATCAGTTTCCCTATGCGGTCAGTGGTTCCATTGATGTATGGCAGGAACACTTTTCCTCTGGGTGGATCTTCATCTTTACTCTCGTGGCTTGTTCTTGGTCTTGCAGCTCTTCTGATGTATGAGGTGGAGTCTCCATTGGCCTGTAGAGCCCAGCTTAGGTGGTTCAGTTCATCTTGGAGGAGGTGGGCTTCGCAGATTCTTTGTGGCTGAAGAGCAGGATATAAATGCTATAAATATGAATATAAATAAATTAATTAAATTTATTTATTTATTTACAGTATTTATATACCACCTTTCTCAGCCCTGGGGGGGACTCAAAGCGGTTTATATACCTCTCAGAGGTTGGTCCAGAACTCCCAGAACTCCCAGCTCTCCTAGGGTTTTCCTGGTAAGATTTCTTCAGAAGTAGTTTCCCACTGGTTTCGTCCAAGGCTGAGAACCGGCAACCTGTCCAACGTCGCCAATTGGGTTTTGCATGGCTGGGCTCTGGTCCCTCAGGCCTAAATCCTGTCCATTAATTACAACTAGAGTGGACTCACTGAATAAATGGTTGGAGGGTAAGTCAATGCATAAGTTAATGCCACAGATTCAATGGGGTGCCCAAATTGGGGATAGTAAAGGTAAAGGTTTCCCCCTGACGTTAAGTCCAGTAGTGTCCGACTCTGGGGTGTGGTGCTCATTTCCATTTCTAAGCCGAAGAGCCGGCGTTGTCCGTAGACACTTCCAAGGTCATGTGGCCGGCATAACTGCATGGAGCGCCGTTAATTGGGGATACCTTGTCAGAAATATTAAAACTAGATAGTTTTAATGTATTGTCGAAGGTTTTCATGGCCGGAATCACTGGGTTGTTGTAGGTTTTTTCAGGCTATATGGCCATGGTCTTGAGGCATTCTCTCCTGACGTTTCGCCTGCATCTATGGCAAGCATCCTCAGAGGTAGTGAGGTCAGGAGAGAATGCTTCTAGACCATGGCCATATAGCCCGAAAAAACCTACAACAACCTAGTTTTAATTACAAAAAGCACCGAAAGGGTTAAATGAATGCAATGACTCAGCAAAAAAGCTGCAGTTTTATATAAGCAGGCCTGCTTGTAGCTTAGTAGCCATCCGTCTGAGAGAGAGTCCTCAGTGTGAGAAGACCTCAGTGGGAGAAAGGTCTGTCTGTGGGGCTTCACAGTGTGAGGAGATTCCATCTGGACATGAGTGAGAACTTCCTAACTGTACAAAAAGCTGTTCAGTAGTGGAACTCTCTGTCCTGGAGTGTGGTAGAGGCTCCTTCTTTGGAGGCTTTTAAGCAAAGGTTGGATGTCGGGGCTGCTTTGAATGCAATTTTCCTGCTTTTTGGCAGGAGGTTGGACTGAATGGCCCATGAGGTTTCTTCCAACTCTATAATTCTAGGTAGGCCTTAGTCTGTGAGAGAAGCCTCTCTGTGAGGTAAGCCTCAGTATGAGAAGACCTCGTGTGTGAAGCTCCAGTGTGAAGGTTGAACTTTATTTGTGTCGTGGAAACCTTGTTCTTGTAAATAGTGCAACCATATTATTTCCCTATAAAGAAAAGCCTCCTATGGAAGAGATAACATTGGTCTGTGTATTTTTGTTCTTTTTATCACTTTGGGCTAGTTGTTAGGGTTAGAATCATAGAATCAAAGAGTTGGAAGAGACCTCATGGGCCATCGAGCCCAACCCCATTCTGCCAAGAAGCAGGAATATTGCATTCAAATCTCCCCTGACAGATGGCCATCCAGCCTCTGTTTAAAAGCCTCCAAAGAAGGAGCCTCCACCACACTCCGGGGCAGAGAGTTCCACTGCTGAACGGCTTCTCACAGTCAGGAAGTTCTTCCTCGTGTTCAGATAGAATCTCCTTTCTTGTAGTTTGAAGCCATTGTCCCATTGCGTCCTAGTCTCCAGGGAAGCAGAAAACAAGCTTGCTCCCTCCTCCTCCCTGTGGCTTCCTCTCACATATTTATACATGGCTATCATATCTCCTCTCAGCCTTCTCTTCTTCAGGCTAAACATGCCCAGCTCCTTAAGCCGCTCCTCATAGGGCTTGTTCTCCAGACCCTTGATCATTTTAGTCGCCCTCCTCTGAACACATTCCAGCTTGTCAATATCTCTCTTGAATTGTGGTGCCCAGAATTGGACACAATATTCCAGGTGTGGTCTAACCAAAGCAGAATAGAGGGGTAGCATTACTTCCCTAGATCTAGACACTATGCTCCTATTGATGCAGGCCAAAATCTCTCCTATGGAAGAGATAACATTGGTCTGTGTATTTTTGTTCTTTTTATCACTTTGGGCTAGTGGTTAGGGTTAGAGTCACACTGCTGCTGCTAAGGTACTCTGCTGTATATTTATGAAGAGGGTCTTTTGTTAATAAGCCCACTCACCCAACATACCTTTATTATTTGGTCCCCAGAGTTCTGGTCTAGCATTCAAATCACTATCTCATGTTGATTCTCGCTACCTCTGCAACAGGCCTGGCAAACTTTGGCTCTCCAGATGTTTTGGACTTCAAATTCCACAACTGTGTGAGATGAAGTCCAAAACACTCAGGGGGCTGAAGTTTGCTCATGTTTGTTCTACAATATGTCCTTGCAGAGGATCTATCTGCTTTCCTCAGCTACAGAAAGCTGGGAAAAGGCAAAACCCTCCCAGAAGTCCCTCATTTGTCCAAAATTTAGCTGATGGGACAAAAAAAGGATACAGCACAACAGTGGATTTGGGAACCTGATCAGACTCTTCTGTTGGTTCTTCGTGACCTTCTTCGTCGCAACTGCTTTCAGGACGTGAATGCCTCTCTTCACTCGGATCAGCTTCTTCTCCATCTTGGGAGTTGCTATGTAAACACTCACTTCCCATTTCAGGGACTGCAGCTGTTGAAGAATTCCCATCCTCATGATCTGAAGTGCATGCTTCCTCTTCCACTCCCTTTCCTGGGGTATTGAGCTCTCCTTCCTGATCAGCTATTGGGTTGCCTGCAGACTCGTTTGTCTGCTGTACGGGCGAGAAGACCGCAGGTTGGAGCAGCTCTTCTGTACAACTTTCAAGGTCTTGTCTCATGACATGTTCATCATCACCAACATCTTCTCTGAAGGGGCTGTTACTGGATCTCACAGTGCTGGGCACACTCTGGGGCTCTTCTTGGGTTACGCTGGACTTAGAACTGATTCTAGGACTATCTTCGTTGAGTAAATGTTGAACAGCCTGGACTGTGATTTCCCTTTGCTCAGGCTCCTGCTCAGGTTCAGATACAAGGCTGGACCAGGGGCTGGTTTTGTCTGTCACGGTGGTGATTTCATTCAGCATCCTTGGTTCCACAACATCCTCTTCGTACTCCTCCTCCTCACTATGGGACTGACTGGCACCTTCTTCTCTCTGGCTGGGAAAAGGAAGGTCGTCCTGAGAGCTGCCTTGGCCAAGGAACTCATAAAGCAAGTCTCTTCCAGAAGAGGATGGTCCAGGAGGGAACAAAGGCGCTTTCTCTACACAGGGGCTGCTCTCAGGTTTGTTTCCTTTTGGCAGTTTTGTCCTGGCAGCTTCTTCTCTCTGGTTCAGCACACCAGAAAGTGGCTCCTTTGCATGAAAATGCCTGGTCCCATCTTCATGAGCATCTAAAGACTCTTCGGTGGCATTTCGCAGCATATTGTTCTGCAAGTCTGGTGAAGGAAAATAGTTTTGATGTTTTAAATCAGCTTTGTGTAGAAGATGAAGTACAGCATCCTTGTGTAGGTCAGTAGACGACCTACACCTATAGATGATTTCCACTACCAGAGTGGAAATCATCTATCGGACAGATGGCAAGCTATTGAACCTCAGCAGACTGAAAGCCAAAACCAAGGTTACAACAACATCTGTTATAGAACTCCAATATGCTGATGACAACATTGTCTGTGCACATTCAGAAGAAGATCTACAAGCCACTCTAAACACCTTCGCAGAAGCATACGAGAAGCTCGGCCTGTAACTGAACATCGAGAAAACCAAAGTGCTGTTCCAGCAGTCACCAGCCAATCCCTCTCCAATGCCAGAGATATAATTTAATGGTGTAACATTAGAAAATGTTGACCATTTCTGCTCCCTTGGCAGCCACCTCTCCACAAATGTCAACACTGACACTGAAATACAACACTGTCTAGCTCTGCGAGTGAAGCATTTTTCTGATTGAAGCAGAGAGTGTTTGAGGACCAGGACATCCGTAGGGATACCAAGGTGCTTGTTTATAAAGCTATTGTCCTCCCAACCCTGCTATACATCTGTGAAACGTGGACTGTCTACAGACGTCACATACAACTCCTAGAACGATTCCATCAGCGTTGCCTCCGAAAAATCCTACAAATATCTTGGGAAGACAAGCGGATAAATGTCAGCACCCTGTAACAAGCAAAAACCACCAGCATTGAAGCGATGGTCCTCCGCCATCAACTCCGCTGGACCTTCCACGTTGTCCAGATGCCCAACCACCATCTTCCAAAGCAGTTGCTCTACTCCGAACTCAAGAACAGAAAATGGAATATTGGTGGGCAGGAAAAGAGATTTAAAGATGGGATCAAAGCCAGTCTTAAAATCTCTGGCATAGACACTGAGAACTGGGAAGCCCTGGCCCTTGAGCGCTCCAGCTGGAGGTCAGCTGTGACCAGCAGTGCTGTAGCATTTGAAGAGACACGAATGGAGGGCGAAAGAGAGAAACATGCCAAGAGGAAGGCGCATCAAGCCAACCCAGATCAGGACCACCTTCCACCTGGAAACCAATGTTGCAATCCAGAGCAGGGAACGAGGCCCTAAGATAACTATCCACCACACTTGGCTGTGAAAAACAATCCTTTTTTTATTGAAGAAAAATGGTTACAAAATAAAGGAAAAATGCAAGTCAAAAGCCACAGCAAAATCAGCAAACATGAATTTAAATGGACAAAGCAAAACCAAAAGCCACACTGTAAAATACTGGAACCTGTTAGCAATCCACTAACCGTGCTTGATATCCTAGAAATCTTTCAAGACTATGGCCAGGGAAACCGGGAGAACTGCCAAGGTCTTCATCAATCTGAAACGATGCCTGAACTGAGAAAGTCAGCCCGGCGGAAGGCACTTAAAGCTGAAGAATTGGTTCCGTGAACCGCCCTTCTTTTTTGAAGCCAATGTTTTTAATTCTTGAATTCGGGAGGATCGACGCAAACTGAGTGATTTACTTCTGTCTTCCCAAATTTGGCCCCTTCTGTTGTCATTACAGTTAACAGGTGCAGAAGGGAGGGAAAGGTCAAGGCTTCCCTCTGAAACATTCTCATGAACACTGGTACTTTCATTTTCCAAATCTACAGAAGTTCCTTCCTCACTAATTTCAGGAACATTGGCATTTTCCAAACCTACAGCAGTTTCTTCCTCACTAATTTCAGGAGCATTGGCATCAAAAGGTACATTTCCATTAGCATCAGTAAATATATTTTCATTAGCATCAGGAGGAACAAACAGAGAATCAGGTTCAAGTTCAAACTCAGGCTGAACCCCAACAACCAATGCCCTCAGTGCAGGAGAACATGCGGGTCAAGAATAGGGCTCCACAGTCACCTATGGACCCACCCTGGAGGATTATCCTACTCGGACAACACCTAAGCAGTAAGTAGGTCAGTAATACCATTGGGTTAACAAGTAAAATAAATAAGTCAAATAATGGCACAAATAAAATTAGATTTTGGCCCAGCACAGAGGTAACACTAGCCTGCTAAGTTGGGATCTGCACATGGAATAAGGTACAGCTGGCTCTCAGAGAGGAAATCTTTATCACTTGGAATTGTTGGGTAATTTCAAAAAGGGAAAAGCATTTGAAATATAATTCAGAAGTAACCGCAGTAGTTTAGCAGATCAAAAGCTTCTTGAGCACAGCAGAGCAAATGAGCTTTATCGATCACAGGAGCAGAATCAAGCTTTAAAAGTTATATAACAGCCAGTAGGCTGTTAGGAATTGTGGGAGTTGAAGTCCAAAATACCTGGAGGGCCCAAGTTTGCCCAGGCCTGCTCAAGAAGCTTCTGACCTGCTAAACTGCTGCTGTTGCTGTCAATTTCCCTTTTAAATGCTGTTTTCGTTTTGAGATAACCAAAAGGACATCCTCCTCCAAAGTGTTGCTGAGGAATGTTGGAGCGATATGCCTAACACCTGGCATCCCCTTCTTCTCTGGTCACTTCACAACTCACCTATGATCAGGCTGCTCACTTGTGAAACCAGGTTATTAGACTTCTCCAGCAGCTGGCATCCTTCTGGATCTACCAATCGCGTGGCAGAGTTTTGGCGACTTTGGCTGAGCTTATCCGTAGGTCGTTGCAGAAGATCAACGTCTGGGAAGGGTCTGGTCAGCTTTTGGCTAAAGTACTTCTGGATCTCATCCAGCTCACACAAGTTTTTCCTAAAGGACAAGACCAGCACAAAGCAGATTTCCATCATTATGTACAGCAAAGGACAGATAAAAATACCCCTCGTATTTAAGGATTTACTCCTTGCTTAATTCGTTCTTGCGTGCGATTGCTCTCACATCCATCTCTTTGCTGAGTGAGGTTGCAATAAAACTTTTTGTACAGATTAATAGCAATTTTTTTTTGCACGTTTCAGGACTTCTCTGTAAAACTTTAGCAAGTTTTTTTTTCAGTTTTCAAAAGTGAAACTATGTTTTTTGTGTGTGCAAAAAACCCTTCACGAAAGTCCTCAAATGCA